TACTTTTTAAATGACCCAATATATATACATACATATACATATATACATATATATATATTTATATTAGGTGTTGGAATTAATTCGTAGCGTTTTTAATGAAAGAATGTTATTTATTTCACATGAGCATTAAAAAATACATTAATGAAAGTACTTCCCATCACTTGTAAAACGCTACGAATTAATTCCAACACCTAATACAATATATAGAAATAAATTTTAGACATATTAAGATACCATCCATGTGGAAGTCAAATATGAAACGTTCAAGAAATTTATTATCAACAAGTAACGTAAAATTATAGTGAATATATTTTATGTATTGCACTCCAAGTACCGCGCTGTATATGCTCTCATTGCCCACTAACTAATATTTATTATTGTTTGAATTTCGAGAGCTGTATTAAATATAATTTGGTTTTTTTTTACAATTTTTCCATTCTTTTTATTATTACTTTACAGTTTACTACTGTTACCTATGTTTATTTTTTAAATTTTTATTCTATGTACTGTTTACAGAAATGATATTAAAAAAAAAAATTCTTTTGTGTATAAAGATTTTGTACACCAAGCGCACTTTATGACTGCTATATTGACCTAGTTTACATCGTGCACTTGATACTAACTAGTAACTTTCTATAAATATATATAATCTTAATTTCGGCGATATGTATATTTAATTAATTATTTTGATGCATATTGTACCACTTTAGTACATCATTCTTTGAATACATCGTTGAAATTAAAATAATTTAATAGAAAGTTACTAGTTAGTACGTGTATCAAGTGCACGATGTAAACTAGGCAATTATTACACGTTAATGTTTGAGAGCGAGTTAGAGCGAGAGTGATGACGAGAAAAATTTGAGTGATACGGCGTTTCAGCTGAATTTCGTTTTACGCGAATTCTCAATTGTGAATCAAACGCGGCGGTTTTCTGACGGCGGAGCGTCTCCTAGGCGGTTGCACTTGTAGTGAAGTGTTGACTCGAGAACAGCGAAGAAAAAGAGAGTCATTGCTTCTCGGTTTTGTCTTTTATGCTCTTTTAAGAACAAAGGCTTCTCTTTGCATTCGTCTATGAGATTCTCGCAAAATTGAAAATTTTGAGGTGACTCTCTGTTTCGGGCGGCGATTGGCAATTTCGAGCGCGATGGCCAAGCGATACGCTATTGTCATGCGCGCCCACTAAATCTGGATTCTTGATTGGGATGAACGCATATTACGCGTTTTGCGTCATGCAATCGCGCGTGCGCTGCGACCGATCTGAGTTGGTTCGCCTTTATAGCGGTTGAGATCTGCGTACGTGCGACGTGCGGCTTAGCTTATTGTTTTTCGACTTTATCAACGAGGTGGCCGAGTTTATGTTTTGAAAACCTTTAAGGACGCTTGGAATCCTTCTAGAAGCTTCTGATCCGCATGTCGCACGTACGCCAAATCTGCAAAAACTGTCCGTGTTAGCTGTATCTCGAACAAATACAAATAAAAATATAAAAAAGAACATAGAATAAAAAGTAAAAAATAGACATAGATAAGAAATGGCGTAATTGTATTGTAAATAAAAAATATTGTAAAAATATAAAAAAATTATTTAAAAAAAATTTTAGATATAATAATAACAATCTAAAATTATAAAATAATACAAATAAAATAAAAATATAATAAAAAATGAAAGTAAAAAAACGAAATGGGGATAAATTCTTGCCATCTTTCTCGTCGGTTATTCTTAGATTCGACAAAGAGCGATATACGATTGTTTCTCTTTCAGCAGGTCGTCATATTTGGTCTGTCATTTTTAATTCTAATTTTTTATACTGGATTTGCTTTCAGGAAAGCTTCTTATCATCTTTATAATTTAGAAGTAACTGTAATAGAGTGAGCTAAAATGCAAGAAATTACATACTCGTGCTTATCACTATAAGGATAGTGATAAGGATTTGCACCCTTAAACTGCACCAGGTTCACATTCTGATATAAAAAAATACGTGTCTATTATTTTCGTCTGCTCTACAAATGCATCAAATTTTATTAAATTCGACGAGTCGGAAACGTAGGTTCACTTATTAAACGTAGTCCATTGTGTCTTTCCGGAAGAAACAGCTTCCGATTATTCAAGGCCCGTTTTTCTCCAGAAGTAGAGGAGGTCTTTCTAAAGCTGTTTTATCTGATCGAGTTCGAGTCCAATATAGACTAGACACTAACCTAAAATATGGAAACTAGTTTCCTCATCGCAACCACACTTCTTACACCTGGAGTGTCATACAATCCCAGTTTGTGCATGTGATAGTTTGTGAAGTCATGTCCTGTGACACCGCCAGCTTGGCCTCCATATTATTCTTAATGCATTTGACCATGTCTTCGCTGGGCGCTTCATCCACCATTAAGACTTTCACCTGCCTGCGAATTTGATCTTGGTTATTTTTTAGTTACTTCTGCCAATAGTTCACATGGCAGTCTCGTAGCTAGTTCCTGGTCTTAACCTTACGGACACTGCTAGGCACATCCAGGGACAGCTTTGGTCTCACTATCCAGGTAGCTGATCCAGCTCTAGCTAACTAGTCAGCAATCTCATTGCCCCTCCAGAATGTTCCGGAATCTACATTAGAGCAATGTTGTTATTCATTACCAGGGTGCATTTGAATTCCCAGAGCAGCCGCGAATCGAAGGTATGCGCATCTAACTAGGGCTGCCCGGCTGTCGAAGCAGATCTTGATTTGCCTATACATCTCCTCTGAGACAATTAGCATCAAACCACAATTTAAGATCGCTACCACTTCCAATTGAAATACTATAGCAAGTCTCTAAGTGGGGCAACTTTCTTTTCGGCATCAGTAGATACTGACACCAGGGGCTTCATCAATTTTGAAGTCATCCATGTATCAGATGTCTTTATTCCTATATAGATGTCTTCGTTTCTAATAATAGATACCACGTGCTTTCTCCATTCCTTACAATTGAGAAAATAAATCTTGAAGAATTTATCAAAGTCACGTTTAACTGTCATCCTGTTCCATGTCAAACTCCCGATAGGATTTTTTTTGGTAGCCAAATGTATACAACACTACACTCGTTTCCGCACTTCAGACGCTCGGTAATCGCAGCCGCAGCCGCCGTAAGGTAAAGCGGTTTGCATGGCTGCCACCGGCAGTTATATTCCTAAATTTCAGAACTCCTTTAAGGATGAGTGCCCTGATTTGTGATGCCTTAGTCATAGCCTTCTGCGACCTAAGCCATCAAACTACTGCCACAACCTAGGAAAAAGCATTACAATAGACAATAGACTACAGTAGAAAGACAATAGAGTGACAGGCAGATAAATGGATGAACGTTCTTCTCTTTTTATTAAAGCCTGATTGGTTGCTGTTGATCTAGCAGTATCTACCAATCAAGCTTTAGTAAACAGAGAAAGAAGTTCATCCATTTATCTGCCTCTCACTTTACTCATCATTCTATCCTCTACTACTCATCATTCCATCCACTATCATTGATAGTCCATTCTATATGTCGATGAATGTAAGGAATTCTGCATCAGCACTTTGTCCCGAATGTGAGCATCGATCAACTTTTCCATTGTCTTAACGATGTCAAGCTGATCGGCCTGAAGTGTAACTTGCCTTTCCCTTGGGAATGAACACTACTCTCGCTGTAGTTAATTTATAGTTAACAGCGGTTATAGTTAAGAGCCAAACAAGCCCTTAGAATCCTCATTAAGCGTCCAATTATCAGGTCCAGCTCTTCTTGAAGAAGAGTCGGAAATATGAAATCCGAACTTGCAGATTTATAAGATTTAAAAGAGGCGACTGCCCATTTGACTTTATCAGGCTCAACGACTTCGGGCGAATCTTCAGTCTTCAGCACGAGCCCTAACCAAGCCCATATCACTCTCCCATAGCTCATCTGTCCCTCTCTGGAAATCAGGAAAATTGTTTTCTAGAAGATGAACCAGATAACGCCCAGTCACATTAGTGTCGGTAAACGAATCCTTTAACAAAAGTAATCATTTTTGCTTTAATGTTCAATAACTCGGTGAAAAAAATCATATAATTGTCAATAAAAAAAGTAAATTTAAGATAAAGATTCACTTCTTGACTGCTATAAATCATTTTTGTGTGATTTTTATTTCACGTCATAGACCTTTGTAAAATATACGAAGTTTTCAGATTTAACGGATATCCATTTGTGTCTATATAGCTTCGTGAAGGATCAGTTACATTGAAATATCAATTACTGATTTCAAAAGTAAAGATTTCAAGCTTTTAAATGCTGTTTTGATTATTTGCGACCATTTTTTACTGACTTATTATTCTGAATATTGCGCAATTTCAAACGTGTTCTAAATTGCAAGCGTGTTCGCTATTTTCTGTTGAGTAGTGTATGAAGGCTTTTATTTGTACATTATTAAATTATATTGATAATATAAATAATAAAAATTCGCTTTCGAAATTTTGTTCATTGTCAGAATTTTAAATTCGGATGATAGTTAAATCGATTTTATGTAATACATAGAACGCGGATCGCAAGTCGTAAGCTTGCTACGTTTGTCTACATCACTTTGAAACTTTAAAAAAATTAGAATTTTTTTTCGGTTAAATGATAGTTTATATATGAAAGTATAATCCCATTAGTTGGAATGGAAAATTCAAAGCATTTACAAAATTACAACTGATTCTTTGAAGCGCTCACGATCGGCGCATTTTTCATCAGATATGAAAAGATACAATAGCAATAGGTTTCCATAAGTAACTATAGATATCAATAAAAATTTTGATGTTATATAGCTCGAGCAGCGTTAGAACACAGCTATTTTTCAGTGTAAATAGATAGTACAGTAAGTCAAGTAAGAGCGTGGTCGACCAGCGTGGTACCATTATACCATTTCATGTTATTAGCCTTGAGATAGGTTCGAATAGTTTCATACGATATCTAAACCTTTCTGCTTCAATTTTGCTTGTCCTTGACGCAGTGTTAAGCCAGGATTCCGCGAAAACAGATTCACTACAATATTTTTTTATCGTCTTTTTTGTTCACTTTGCATATCGAGCCATGTTCCGGTAAATCATCGACATTTTTTTGCCACATTATATCGCTGCACCCACTTCTGTACGAATGATTTCGACTTTTTCATATATTTAGCAGCCGCTAATTGTGACATTTTTGGGTGAATGCAAAGGAACACAGCTTCATAGCGTGATGCGTATTTGGTACTCATGGCGCTTAATGATTCTCTTAAGAAAGTTCAATGATAATGAATCTTTCTTGATAGTACATCAAGAATAAAGGTGCCCTCTATGGATTCATGATAGATTTAGGGCGATATTTTATTAGCTTTGAGTAAGGCCGACCACGATCTTACTTGACTTATTGTATATCAAATGGCGCGCTTAACGATTCGTGTTGGAAAATCCGTTACATTGAAAATATATTTATTATAATGAAAGGCAATAAAAGAATAGTGTATACTACAAAGAAAAATTATAAAACTAATATTACACGTGCTAGCGGATGCCTATAGGCTGTAATTGTTCTGCATGATACAGACGCTTAACGCATCAAAGTAGCGGTGCACTTCTTGACCGAAGCGGCAAAAAAGACTCGCAGAGCCTTAAAATTAGACCGGAAAGAGGTTGAAGAGGGTTTATATCAATATTGAAGGACAGTTGTGGTGCAGGCATTGCAGACTAAAGGTAATTTTTACATTTTTTAATTTTGTATAAAAATTGTATCGAAAAACTTTAAATGAGTTTTTCTCAAAACGACATTTTTCAAATCGGCGTACATCATAACTTCTACAGTTTTCATTTGATTCACTTGAAATTTACACAGAATCTTCTTTTGCTAATTATCTAAAGAAGTATGTAGCGATTTTACTATTAGTTGTAAACTATTATTATTATTGACATTTTTGTGCAAAATTTGTTGATCATAAATAATAGTTTTTTTTTTAAATATTCGTTATTTTCACAAAAAGGCATATTTCTGAAAACCTCTTTAGTAAATGTACTTCTTTAGTAAATGTTGTGTAGAACATAAAATTTTTTGGTTTTTTATTCTAGGTCAAATCGTTTCGTAAACTTGTACGCCGATTGGGCACTCGCTGAAAATCAGCTTATTTCAATCAACGCACTGTTGTCATTTAAAAAAAAAATTAAAATAAAATTTTTTGTACATTTTAATACATGTATAATAAATACCTCTTTATACATTTTTAATTTATTTTATTCTTTTTGCACAAAAAATTCCCAAAATTAACCTTCTTTTTAAGGGTCCAAAGTGGTGTAACTCTTTAAATAAAATCTGTTTTCCTTTAAAAAAATGTGAAAAACTGTATTTTTGTAATGTCGTTGCGTTTATCAAATGCACTTGGTGCCAATCAATATTTTGTTTTAAATATTATTAAGACTTAGGAAACAACCGTATACATCAAATACGATAGAGAACGTCAATACGATCAAAGTTAGAGAGAGAGAGAGGGGGGGGGGAAGTTTGGAATATTCTTTATTAAATCAATTTATTTCAGAGATAGGATTGTGCGCCGATAATTTTTTAAACTTTCAACACAATTAGTTTATGAAACGCTAATAGTCCTCGCTAATAATTTGTTTTAAATGTTTTTTTCTAACTATCATCCGAATTTAAAGCTTATTCTACAATATACTTTTTGTTTCCTGTTTTTTGCTTTTTACTTCTTGCTTTTTTCCTTTGCTTTTTTTTCGTTTTATCGACAATTGTATTTCTTGCTGTGTTTCCTGTTTCTTCCGAAGTTCGTTAACTTTTATCTCGGGCGACATAAAACAAAAAACGGGATAAGAAGTAAAAAGACAAGATATAAAAAACAACAAAAAGCAAGAGACAAAAAACAAAAAGCACATGTAGATAATCATAAAATTCTGACAATGAACAAAATTTCGGAAGCGAGATTGTTACTATAAATAATAAAGATGTTGTCAATGAAATTTAATAATGTACAAACAAAAGCCTTTATATGTTATGCAATTTTAAAATAATTTTTTTATTTGTTAATTGAAAAGCGAAATGGGTTCCTTTTTTATTGATTTAAAATGTTTCATACATGAATTATTTCAAAAATTATGAAAATATATTTGTCCTAATATATTTTTGGGAATATAAATTAGTTCGGTCCGTTTTTTTGTGTTCAAAAATTCATTTATTTTAAAACAAAATGAATGAACAGATTAATTAAAGTATTGTCCATCGCTGGCTACTACTTTTTTCCCATTTCTCAGGCAATTTTCGAATTCCATCTCGAAAAAATGACTCGTCTTTGGAGGCGATCCAATTTTGGAGAAGTGAACCGGTGACTTGCCAAATCGTGCTGCATCCTCCGGAACAACCAGTAATCAGAAGGAGCAATATCCGGAGAATACGGCGGATGTGGTAAAACATCCTATTTGAGCGTTTCCAAATATTTTTTTACGACTTTTGCGACATGAGGCCGAGCGTGTCATGAAGAAAAATAACTTTATCATGTCTTTGCTCGTATTCCGGCCGTTTTTCTCGCAATGCACGGCTCAAACGAATTGTAGCTGATACCGATCCCCCATAATGGAATCGCCAGGTTTCAGCAGCTCATAGTAAACAACACCCTTTTGATTCCACCAGATACAGAACATGATCTTCAAACTATGAATCCACTTCTCCAGTCACAATCCGATGCAAAAAATCTTTTCTTTGTTGTCTTTGAAGCTGTTCGCAAGTGAAAAATCGCCTTTCAACATCTCTCGGTTTCAGTTCATAAGGCACTCAATTTCCTTGTTTTTGAATTATTCCCATGAATCTCAATCGTACAGAAACGGCTTGTTGAGTTACTCCCAATATGATTCTCTTCTTGCGTTTGACTCTGATCTTCTTCGAGTAATGCCTCTAATTCTTTGTCTTCCTGAATTTTTTTGGCTGTCCAGAGCGAGGCTTGTCTTCAACGCTGAAATCTCCATCCTTGAAACGTCGAAACCATTCCCTACATGATTTATCAGTTGGAGCAGTGTCACCATAAACTTCGACAAGCATTCGATGGGCTTCAGCTGCACTTTTCTTCCAATTAAAGCAGAAAATTAGAACCTCCCGCAAATGCTGCTTGGTTAACACAAAATTCGACATTTCAAATACAGCAAAAATCAAGGTTTTTGTATGAAACTCAAAGCGATATAAACTGAATATTATTAGCAGATGTCTATCTCTCTGAAAACACCAAAATCAGCTGTCACTATGAACCATTCACAACAGCCGGAGCCATCTTTTGGAAAACGTACCGAACTAATTTATACTCCCAATACATTTATTGCTAATCCTGATAGAAAAATGTTAGCATTTGTGGTCAAATTCGATCAGATTTTGACTAAACTATAGCCATCTGTCCATGTGTCCATTGTCGGGTCCATGAACGCTGTATATAAGGTGCATGAAAAATCGTAAACTATTAAATATTTAATAAACTGTTGCGTTTTGGTTTATATTATTCTGGATTAATGAGATGGTTACTACAATTTATTAAAATTTATACATTATTTAGAATGCCCTTATTGATACACGTCGAGCGGTCGAGATTGCTGAAAAAGCATTTTCATTGAAAAGTTCATTTGAAACAAGAGTGAGAAGGACGTTTTCTCGTTATTTCGTTTGCTCTCGGCGCGTCGAAAGTGAACACATGGACATGGGCTTATGCTTGTGTATGTGGCTACTGATTTCGCCAAGTCGCCGATTCTGCCTCGTTACCGTTAATGCGGAGTTCTCAGCTGAGTATTGAGGAACTTTTTAATGTAAATTATTAAAATTGCTTGTCAATTTAATTTGTGATATTATTACAGTAGTTGTATTTATAAGTCCGAAAAACCAATTCGACGCGCAGTTTGACTGACTACAAATATGATATACAGGGTGGTGCATTGTAATTATTCCAGGCGGATATTTCAGAACCTAAAAGAGATACAGGAAAAAATTTTATATAAAAATTTTTTATGAATACGAACCACTATTTTTTATTGCATATTCTTGTAGCTGAAGTCAAAGCGTTTTCAAAACATAATAAAGACAAAAAACACTAAAAAATTTTTTTGTTAAGCACTCACATTATAAAACTTGATAGTTACTGTACACGCCGACAGAAATGCCTTTATACATTCAAGATGAATGCGTTTCGATTGTGTTGCGAAATACATTTCTCTTGAATGTGTAAAGACATTTCTGTTGGTCAGTGTACTGTTGACATTAGCATTATCCAAGATGTATCATGTAGAGGTTATAAGTCGGATTTAATTTGTTGTATGCGTATGTGTATACGTGTATAGGGGAGAGGAAGGGGAGTCAAAGATTAACGTATCCTGTACTTGTTTCTGTTCATTATTTGAACTGATTATGTTTGATGATCAACTTCAGAATCAGCTCCAGGTCGATTGACATGCATTTTCCCGTGCTTACTCACGATGAACGACGTAGACGTAACAAGGATTTCAACTCTTTAATGCTTAGATGCTTGATTTACATGAGTCTTAACTCTCACGTTTGGAGTGCTTAATTTATGTAAGTTCTTTTGTGTATCAATAAAGTATTCCAAACAGTCGACCGAAAAGTGTAATTTTTCCACTCCCTCACGTACGCACGTATGCACACACAACAGATTAAATCCAACTGAGTAACCTCCATGTGGTACATCTTCGATAACGTTAATGTCAACAGTACAGTAACTGTCAAGTTTTATAACTCGAAAAGTACTTCCCGTCGCAAAAAAACAGATGATTTTACTATTAAAAGTGTAATTGAAAAAATCATTGAAAATGAATGACGTTTTTAATAGTATTTTATAGCAAGCTGAATGAGTTTTTGCCAATGTATTATAATATTTTATCACTGAGGAGTTTATTATTGGCTAAAAATGTTTTCAATGGTACATTAACTTTATAGTTTTATTGCTAAAATGAGTATTATTATTGATTAATAGCCACTAGCCATGTCAATGCAACTCAAATGAATATTTAAAACGTACAGATTAAAGGAATAGAGATGTGATGGCGTGCGTATGATGGCTTGGATATCGGTATCGCATTACTAGATTAGAATATGAAAAACTCAAAAATCTATAACATAAGCGTTTATCTGACGACGCGAGCAATTATCTAATGACATTAGCAGTAACCGACGTCGATCTCACAGTGAACGTAGAGTGATTATTAATCTTATCGAGTGCTAACTAAAATCTATCGCTGAGGCTTACAAAAGATCCGCACGCAGAATGCCATGACATCAGAGAGGGGGAGGGGAGATAGAGGGGGGAGGGAGGGAGGGGGAGAAAGAGAGGGAGAGGGAGAGAGACAGGAAGGAAAACCGGAAAAAAGAATGACTCGAGCGCCGCAACTAACGCTTGCAACGCACAATACCCCTTCTAGTGTAAACGTTAAGGAAAGAAATATTGATTAACTTATCGCTAGAACAAAAATAACAGAAAATAAAATTAAATGAAACAAACAAAAATTTATGCTTATTGACCGCTTAATGTATAATAATATTGTACGAATTAATCCTTAAATAACAATCTTTGGCTTGGTTGATAGCCCAAGATATGTCTTTGGTTCACATTGGAATGTTGGTTGAAGACGCAGTGGACGGAGTAGTTTCTGAGTCTTGAATTATTAAATAAGCGGGCTTAAGTCTATCGACAGTGACGTTGATACAT